TGGGGCATGGGGCAGATAGGAATGTGGCAGTCAGACTGAGAGCCTTCAGTAGAGGAGAGGGAGAGCTAAACAAGGCTGCCTTTTACATGTCAGAGACCATTTGTCCTGATGCAAAGTGTAGATGCCAGAAAATTGACAGAATGAGAAAAAATATGAAGAAATTGTTTCTGTTGTTCTGAATTAATACCAATTAAATTCTTAGTAGATTGTTGACTTAGAAGAATGAATCCTGAACTCTGTGCCTTCAGGGGCTTTTCCTCCCCATTCTGAAAATTTGCTCTTGAAGCATATTAGTCCAGGAGATTATTTCCCTGTTTCTACTTCTGTTTTGATCTATCAGCAGTAGTTATTTCACAGTGCCCATTATGTTTGTGAGCATAGGGATACAATTTTAGAACAACCTGCCTAACATCCATCTTACTTCTTTCCTGGAAATATACTCAGATTCTCATTCCTGTCTTACCAAAGGGCCATTTCCACTGTTTTTCTGCAGTGTTTTGGGCTGATCGGATTAGTTGACCAGAAGTGTTAAATGGAAGGCTAGCTCCTACTCATTGTTCTGATTTCCACACCTTTCCCACAGTTTCCCTTTGTTTCCACTCCCCTCGTGGTCCCCCCCCCCCCCCCGCCAAGTTGTTCAGCCATCCACTCACCCTGGAACATATCTAGTTTGGGTGGATGAAAACTCTAATCTGATCATTCCATGACTAGTTCAGACCTCACTGGGTATAAAGCACAAAGAAAGACACCCATCTGTACTTATTCTTCACTGAGGACTTGCTTTCTTGGCATGTTCCCCTAATTGCCAGATTCAGGTGATTGCCATCACAAATGGGACTCTCACCTTCAGAGTGATCAAGTTAGCCGGCAAAGCCTTCTCTTGCTTCTTCCACTGTTTTTGGAATTGAAAGCAATCCAGCTGTCTCTAAGGATAAAAATGAAAACAAACATAAAAATAAACCACACTTACATTGCAAAGAGTGGGGGAAATTGGCCATTTTTTAATATTAGAAATTTCAAACAGATGGCGAGCTAATTTATATTTTCATTTTGACATTTTCTTACCCATTGGGAGTGCAATTAAGCCATATTTTAAACCCACTCAAAGGGGCCTTCATCTGAAAATGTTATAGACGTATCTACAGATAATGCTCTTCACCATCAACAGAGCTTAAGGACCCAGAAACAGTAGTTCTTCCATGCCCAGCCCACCCTAATCAAGGGGCACATGGGATAGGAACCTCCTCTGTGAAAACGCTGGCCTCCTACTATCCTCCCTGCCTCCCATCTTGCCCCACTTGGGGCCGTTTTCCCTAGAGCTAGCAAAGGGATCTTCCCTTAATGCACATTTGGCCATGCCAGCCCCCTGCTTGAAATGAACCTTTCAATGACTCCATATAGCCCTCAGAATTAAGTTAAAACTCTATTATTATCATGTTACTAAAGTCATCTTCAGTCTGACCCTGCTCACTCTTCTCTGCCTCAGTCCTGGTTTCTCCTCCCTTCTGCACTTTGCACTTGAGTCCTACTAAGCTACGTGTCGTCCCAAGATGTGCCTCTTCCTCTCATGCTGCCAGGCATTTGTACTCCCTGCCCACTTTGCCTGGGTAAACCCCACTGCCCCTTCTCCACCTGGCTTGTGCCTCCCTTTTCGGTTTGACTTACAATTTAGTTGCAATCCAGTGATACCATTTTACCATGCTAAGATATGGCCAAAGATAATTTTACCTGAAAGATTTAGAATGTATGGCTTCACTGATTATTCTCATGTTTGCCCAGTGTTTTCAATCTTACTGCACTTCTATCTTACACATTTTCCTATGTTGTTCAATGAAAACACACATTAAAATCCTGTAACAATACAACCTTCCAAAAACACAGCCCCAAAAGAGACATTTTGCCTAAATCACTGAAAGCAATCTAATCACAAGTGAATGATTCTTTTCCACACATGATGGAATTTTCCACTAATGTGCCTTACTGACTCTGGCCACATCCACATGTGCTCTTGTCATGCCCTGTCACACACAGTCCACCCCTGAAATAGCAGTCCTCTCAACTTGATGTGTTCTATTTCCATTTTGTTACTCCATAGTTGGATAAATTTATAACATCTGAATTGCCTGTTGTACAAAACTGAGTTGTAATCTCAATTTTGAAAGAGGATGGTAGCAGGGGAGTCTGGGTGGCTAAGTTGGTTAAGCGTCTGACTCTTGATTTCAGCTCAGGCCATGATCTCAGGGTTATGAGATCAAGCCCTGCTTCGGGCTCTGTACTGGGCATGGAGCCTGCTTAGGATTGTCTCTCCCTCTCTCTCTCTGCACCCCCTAAAAAAAAGAGGATGGTAGCAGAGGATATGCAGATATTGTGAGATTCACCTGAGATTTCATAGCATTTGTGGCAAAGACAAAAATAGAAGTTCTAACTCTGCAGCTTGTTTTCAGTTCAGAGGTCCTCCTGGCTTGGAAATAATAGAAGAAAGAGAAATAGTCCTTTGTACTGGAAGCTAATAGCCTTGAAGAAGGATGAGTTCCAGAGTAGTGGGCCCCAGACCAAGATCGTCAGCAGCCCTTCCAAAGTTCAATCTGGAGCTGGCAGGCACTTTGGTCCCATTATACTTGCTATGGGGACATCTTTGGGTTCACTCCACCTTTTCATTTCCTCCTTCAGTGGAGTGTCACTTGCCTAAAGTAGCTTTTAAGTGACTTGTTTTATGGATGTTTTCCATAGAACACTGCTCCCTTTCTTTCAGACTTGAATTTAATTTTAGTAAATGGATTGAATTTTATTTTTCTTTTAATGAGAGCTCTTGTCATTACATCACCCATCATGTTATCCTTCCATATTGGTGGACCTATTATTCATGTCACCAATTTATTGACCTCATTAGTTAACTGCTAGTTTTTTTCTTTTATGTATTCAAATAAACTTAAGTCTTTCTTATAGCTTTCTTAATCAAGGGAATTTTTTTATACAAAGTTATTGAAAGCCCCTTAAATCTAATCACTTCAACACATTTGCCAGCTAACTCAGTAGTAGAGAGGAAATAAAGCATTGCTGTGCCTTTTAAAATAAAGTTTAGGTTATGTTTAGAAAACTTGGGCAAAACCAAATGAAGTGTCTTTTTTTTTTTTTATTGCTTCCATGTCCTAGAATAAAATGGTCCCTGCATGCTTGATATAATTAATTAGACAATTCATTTAGGCATGGGCAGCTTGGAGCAGGGCTCTGGAAGCAGGAAGGACCCTGCCACTTCAGAGCTGAGTTACTCTCAGCAAGTTATATAAGCAGTGGGGCTTAGGTGTCTTTCTTTGTCAAATATAGTTATTAAGAGCAGGAAATGAGATGACACCTAACGTAGCAACTGATTAATCTTTTCTAGTCCTCCTTCCCTTACCTTTTCAACAAGTATTTTAGGTAAAGTTAAGGAAAACCAGAAGAGAAAGCCAGAAAGCCACAAACACCATCCTTGGTCTCCAGTTCCTCAAAAAAAAAAAAAAAAAAAAAAAACCCAAAACAAAAAAACAAGTTAACTGGAAGCAAATACTTAACCTTCATGATTTTTTAAAAATATATGATTATATGGACACATATGTGTGTTAATAATATATGTAAATGATGAGACTTTGTTTGACCCAGACATGCTGCTGATTTTATAGAAAATTATGGAGCAACTGTTAATCTGGAATTGTGCCATATTCCTCAATTCTGATTACCAAATTTGGAATTGAATAGAGTTCTGATCATAATCACAAGAAATTCAAATACAGGAAGATGCTACTTTCTCGGATGCTTTGTTATTTAGTTCCACTGACAGCAGATTAGTCAGTAAAGCCTTAGGAGGATACTTCCCACTGAGAGTCAGATTTGGGAAGGCCTTGGATAGTTCTACAAACAAACTAACTTGATGGAAATTCATTTTTATCTGGAGAATCCTATGGCACAATCATTTTAATTGTGTACTACCTTGAATTGTTTACTTTTCAACCTCTTTTTTGATATCCTACACACATGAATGTCAGGAGGTTAGAAAGATCTAAGACCTAATTCTTACCATGGGCCTTGAAGTAATTTGGATGAATACCATAGATGAAAGATGGGTAACTTCAACTGAAACTGTAGAGTCTCAGAATTTGAAGGGGCCTTAGTGATCTCTAGTTTAGTCACACATTTGAAGCTTAAATTTGATCCAGTACATCCCAGTCAAGTGAGAGTCAACCCTTCAGAGTATCCTCCGGACAGCTCTGGCTGTTAGAAAGTTCTTCCTTAATCTTCAACCCCATAGCTACTACCCTTGGCTCCAAATTCTGTTAGAGAAATTAAAAAAATGGCTCTGCTCAAACTCACGAGGCTGCAGACTTCTTGATGGCAGGTATTGTATCCACTACAGCTTCTAATGACTTGATAAATGATTGCTGAATAGAATTAAAAGCAAAAGATGTTGTTCTTTATTTTGATATATATCTTACAAAATAGCAAATGATCAATATATTTAAGTTCTATTGAGAAAGCATCATATAAAGTAACTGATTTTATTGTTTAAATATCATAGCTGATATAATTCTTTCAGTCTTATAATTCAAGCAATTTTATCTGTCTTATGTATTGCAATTTACCTTTATTATAAAATAACATACTTGCCCCTACAGATATTAACTATTAGACATCACATGTGCCAACAAGCTGAAACCCCACTAAAGTAGGCATTAGAAGTTCTGGGTTCCAGTCCCAGCCCCCTACTACCCATCTGAGTGATCCTGGTTCTTGTTTCCTATTCTGCAAACTGCAAGGGTTGAATCAAATGTCCTCTTAAAGTTCTTTCCAGCTTCACAAAATCATTCGTGTTTTTGACTTGTCTGACCCATGTGGTAGAGTATCCACAAAGACTGTCAAAGACAAGACCTCTGATTTCTGGTTTAATTCTCCATTTATATTGCCAGTGACTTTCCATATGTACAGTTTAAAGCTAGGGATGCTTCCCCACTCCTTTTTCATTTCAGAACACTTTTCTTCAGGAAACAGTGCGTAGGGAGTGCGAAGAACGCTTTGAACTGACAGAGGCTTTGAGTCAAGCCAGAGAACAGCTTCTGGAGCTCAGGAAGCTCAGTGGAAGTTCACCTTTGTCACCGTGTTCCCTTAACCAGGGCAGCCTAACCTCCTCTGCTGCCGTGGTCAGTAATCAGGCGGAAAGAAGCCTTACAAGACTGAACTCTGGGAAAGGAATCAAAATTCCCAGCCTGCACAGAGTGGCAAAACCTACCACTTCCCCAACCTTGGCTCAGTCCCAGAGGCTCAGCAGCTCAGGTTTGCCCACTGTGCCCCAACCGCATCCTCCCTGGGGTGGAGCATCGTCGGTAAATGAGACCAGACAAAGGCTGGCTACCATTCTGCGGAGGAGACTGAGCCAGCAGTGATTGGTCCAGTCCGGAGCAGCTCCACACAGCACACCTGGTCTTACCCAGCGGGCCAGAGATGCACTGTGACTGAGGGTGACAAAGGCCATATTATTATCACAGATCAAGAATGCACGGTTATAGATATTTTTAATAGCATAATTGTGGAAAAACTAGGAATTGTGAAGCCACATTTTCTAAGAGACCTTTGAAATTGCCACAGATAATGAAGTTGCTGATATTCCAGAGGGCCAGTTTCTATACTTCTATATTGCATGTTTAGATGTGTTCTATGCATGTGCCCTTTTAGAGATCATAGGTAAAATTTTTCACTCATGGCATCTTTGCTATTTTTTTTGCACCATTACAAGCAGATATATTTCCACAAAAAATAGATTGTATTGGTTGTGTCTGTTTTTGTTCCTTTGTTTGTTGAGCTGAATAGGTTAAATAGATGTAATTCATATTCCAAATAGAAAATGGAAGTACTTTAGTCCTAAATCGGATAATTTCCAAAATGTTCAGTTCAAATATTCACAGAATTCATCATCATCATAGAAACCTTCTCTTTTTCATCTCACAATCTAATTGGTTAATCGAATTTCTTTTTAGGCCAGAAGTAAAGATAGGTACCCTTCAAGAAGGCAGTCCTCCCTGTGAACCTGGGACCTTCTAGGAAAAGGGACAGCAACTCCAATTCAAGGAAACGGTGGTTTACTTTTCAAACTATAGAGATTATTTAAAAAAAAAACAAAGAGCCTGGCTGACCATGAAAATATTACTTGGTAGAGATTTTCTACATTGAATGCTTTTTGGTAATCACTGCTGGATTTTTATTTGAACTTGTATCCTTCAACCATTGGGAAAGGAACTAACTCAAGACCGTTCTATAGAGTCACATAGTGCTAATTTGGAGTTCACATTTTATTACTCCCCAAGATAGGCAACTGGTTAACATATTTTCTATTTTCAGAGTGAAAAACTAAAACCAGCAACCAAAACCAGCTATTTTAAGTTATAGAGCTTCAGGCCCCTCCTGTTTCTTAAAATACAACTCTTTACCTTAAGTTAATGTTTGTCTATCTTTTCCCCCTTCAAACTGAAATGTATTTTTCTTTCAAGACTGACTTTACTTAAATCCTTCATCTGACTCTATCAGGGACATCCAGGCTTCTTGTTCCCGGATGAGGATATAGTAACACGTGTGAAATATGGCACGTAAAACTCTCCTCTGTTTGGCTTTTATACTGATGAGAGAATCCAAAGGTACTTGGAATTCTTCCCATCTGAAAAAAAAAAAAAAAGTAAAGCTACTAAGTAAATTCAGGTTTATGCCTAATCTTTCAAAGGATTAGTCTAATCTACCAGTAGAGTGTTTTCCTAAAAAAATAAATAAATCAATTCCACATTAGTTCTGCTGATTTCCCTGACTGGTTGAAATGAGTACATCTTGTGTTAAGTCTTAGAATGTTGCATTTTGCTTTACAGAGATCAGTATTCCTTATAATGGCATTTGAAAAGAGAACAAAACATCATAGAATGGTGACCCCCAACCATCTCTTTCCAAATATGGAATAGATGCCCAAAGAAGTCTGACTTGGCTAAAGCAGGACAGCTAATTAGTGACAGCTAAAACCAGACCACTTTTAACTGACCCCAAGTTTCCACCTCATTTTTCCACTCATCACATTGCCCAGCCTCCATCATGACAGAAGCTCTAAATAGTATTTACCTAATATTTTCTTTAAATGCACTCACTTTTTAAACTTAAAGTTATATAAGAAAACTTGACCCAAAAAAGAATAACTATAGAGTAATGAGTTTGATTTGCTAGGTGTATTTTTTCTAATACTTTAAAATAAATGTGTATCTATTAAAATACGAAATGTTAATGTACCCCCGAAAAATCATCTTGTATAATGACAGTAGTACTCATGCCACACTTTGGGAACCTCAATGTTTCTGATCTGGTATTTGCATGTTTATTGCAAGTACCGGTGACATAAGGTAGATGGCAAAAGCTAGTGAAACCTTTAGTAAAAAGTATACAAGAATATTTGGGGCAGCAGTCTTTGTCATCAGATGATACATGTTTTTCCAAGTCTCGCAATTTCAGCTATCTTCAGGAGCCATGGGGATATATTTTTCCAAAAATATGAACAGATTTAAATTTGTGAAGAAAGTCATACATAAACTTTTCTAAAGCGATGTAAAGACCATCAGTGCAAAACCTGGTTTCTTGGTTTGCTGTTACACTCTTGCTTTATAATGAGTAATTATGTAAATAATCTTTCTGAGAATAGAATCAGGATGTGCAGTATGGCTGTGTTATATTCCACAAGTATATTAGAAAGGTAATTCTGTGGATAAACAAAGAGACAATATTTACATTCGTTTCAGACTAGACCACTTGAATGGTGCCATCTAAGCTATGTGCTGGTATCTTTCAAAGAGAGACAAAGAAAAGAGAATCACATTAGCGTATGTAAAGGGGGGGTTAATAACACAAACTTTCCTTGATCTTCTCACTGATGAGCTAACTCCTACCATGAAACAGTATCAGGAATGTTAAGGAAGTAGTGACTACTATAGCAAACTAAAGCTCTCAAATGCATATAATGGATATTAATTTAAATCTATTAGTTTTAATTTCTCCCTATATATATGTTTTCCATGACCTCAATGGAAGGATTGATAGGTACAAAAAGAAAAGAATACCACAGAAAATATTCCTCACAGAATTATACCATATTTGTTTTTTCTTCTTAAACTACTGTTGATAGACAAAGATGGGAGAATTCATCTATAGTTAACGTAGATTTCTCACGTAATTTTTGAAAGTCTTATTGAATTAAATTACCATATTTATACTTAGTCAGAATTACTTAAAAGTTATATTTCCTGGCAATGGAATTGACTAGAAGAGGTATTAATGTTGAAAATTATATAAAACTGGGGCACCTGGGTGGCTCAGTCGTTAAACGTCTGCCTTCGGCTCAGGTCATGATCCCAGGTTCCTGGGATCGGGCCCCCACATCGGGCTCCCTGCTCAGCAGGAAGCCTGCTTCTCCCTCTCCCACTCCCTCTGCTTATGTTCCCTCTCTCACTGTGTCTCTCTCTCTGCCAAATAAATAAAATCTTAAAAAAAAAAGAAAATTATGTAAAACTAAGATTTTTTTGATGTTCTGTCAGTCTGAAAAGTTTTTGTAATATTACAGGTCAATTATAGCTAATTTTTTTGATTATGGAACAAATTTTCTCAAGCTTTATCTTATAAGGTTATTATAAGGCACTGATAGAGCAACCTAGTAACCCAAAAGGGTTAATGCACTGGAGCTGAAAATTCCTGACCATCATGTTGTATTTAATGGAGCACAGGAAAGCAATTTAATATGTGCCCAAAGTTCACAAATCCTGCAATGATTATAGGTTGTTTTTTTTTCTTTTTTCTTTACTTTTTCACTTTCATATTTTAAGAAAATAATGTATGTGCACTGTACCTTGCACAGGACACCTTTTATGGTCCCCACGCCATGATGGACAATAATAGCATTTCTAAGGTGGTGTCTATGGTATCTTCAGGAAGAAATTCTACTTTTCCTTTTGAAAATATTAACCCTATATAGCGATAAATTGTGAAGCCAATATAATGAGATTGCATCTTTAGAATCTTAAATATAAGTTATGTCATCTTGGTTTATTCTTAATTCACACATGGAACTTTCTTGGCAGCACAGTAGTTGAAACTGAAACACACATATCCTATGACAATATTTACCATGATCCAGAAAGTCAAAGGATTTCCTTCTCCAGCGTTCATATAGCATAGTGTTTTTTTTTTTTTAAAGATTTTATTTATTTATTTGAGAGACAGAGAGAATGAGAGAGAAAGCACATGAGATGGGGGTAGGGTCAGAGGGAGAAGCAGACTCCCCGCTGAGCAGGGAGCCCGACGCGGGACTCGATCCAGGGACTCCAGGATCATGACCTGAGCCGAAGGCAGTCGCTTAACCAACTGAGCCACCCAGGCGCCCAGCATAGTGTTTTATATCCATTAAGTGAGTAAAAAAATTTACTGGACATCCTTTACACCCACCCCAAAATATATAAGGAATACTATGTCACAGAGATTAAGTAATTTATCCAAAAGAAATACTAATTAAGACCAAGGAATAATTTTAAAACTTGTACAGTTTCTGAGCATCTTGATCTATAGAATAATAGTGAAGCTGTATTATACATTCACTCATTTCTTCCACAGATACAGAGAATTGAAAAAGCACTGTGAGAGTTACAATAATAAAGACAGACTACAGATTCCCAAGAATTGTATAGTAGAGAGTGAGAGGAAGCATATACAAAAATTGTAACATAGGGCAGTAGATGTTGAGAAGAGTCAAAAGCAAGGTGTTACATGAATTCAACTTCTTGCTGGAAGAATCAGGGAACATTTTAAGCAAGAATTGGTGTTTATCATGGGTCTTAAAGAATTGGTGGGGTTTTATAGAAGAAGGTATACCAGGTAGAGGAGATGTATAAAGAGGCACAGATATGAGAAGGGTAGAAAATACTTGTTGAAGGGAAGTAGTAGGAACCCCATAGCATGAAGGTGTTGAATAAAGGCCTTTGCAGCATTTTGACTAGAAGAGGCATGCACTTTGTTGAAATCTGGCAGGCCTTTATAGGAATAATTATGGAGTGGAAAGACTGGAGATGGAACACAAGTTTGGTAGATTAGTACAGTAGTTCAGACAAGAGTTACATGAAGTTGTGGGTAAAGATGTTGATAATGGAAATAAACTGGAAGGAGCTGACTCCAATTCTAGTCAGAGAAGGGAAAGAATTTGTTCCCTGTTAAATATATTTTGAAACTGTTACTAGTGATTGCCCCTTAGCAGGGGTGCAGTGTATGAGATCGACTCCAATTAAAGGTTACCCTCTACTTAAGAATATTACAGCTTCTCTGAAAAATGTGAAATCATAGGAACTACATTTTCATTTGGGTGACAGGTAAGTAATCCCGTAGACTCAGTATTCATAAGAATTATCCTTAAAGTTAAAAGAAAATTCAAATCTGAATAGTGTTCTAAGAATTATGGAGGAAGAATGTGGAAATTGACATTTAAAAAAATAGCTATCATCTTGGCCTCAAAGAATGCAAAGCACAACTCATTGGTGACCTTTGGGGGTAATACAGTGCGAGGAAACTTTTTCTGATTTTTGTTAACTGTTTATGAGGGAAAATACAAGACATGGCAGCCAAAATAAAAATGAGTGTTATCTTAAAATCCTTAAATTTTATCGTTCTGAAACGACCTGACACATCTCCTAGTCCAGACCTGTAATTTTACAGAAGGAGATAATGGGTCCCTTAGAGGTTAAATAATCTTTTAAATCCTTATAACTGTTTAACAGCTGACTTGATGAGAAAGTCATGGCCTCCAGCTCTTGGCCAAACATCTCATTTCTAGACTGGAAGAATAATACAAATGCTGTGAATTTTTGCCACTCAAAGTGATCCAGCAGGATCACTGTCTCCAGGGAGCTTGTTAGAAATGCAGACTATCAGGTCTCACACCCAAGCATACAGAATGAAATCTAATTTGATGAGATCCGCAGGTGATTCTTATTAAAGTATGAAAATCTCTGCTCACAATGGTGCCATTGGCCCTGGCATATTGCACCTCTAAGAGCCATGCATTAGTATTGAACAGAAATAATATTCCTAGACTCAGTTCCTTTATGCCTAACTGAAACCAATGGTGCTCTGAGACCACCCATCCCCCCTGTTGACCCATCCAACACCTCAGGTCCCAATGCATTCCAATTCTTTTTTTTTCCCAATTGATTGTGAATCTGGAAAACTCTCCAGAAAAACTAGTGAATTAAAGGAAATCAATATCCAATCAATATTCATAAAATCTTATGTCATGATCCAAGTTTCTGAGCCTGCAAAGAACTGAAGATTTGTTATTAAAAAAAAATCCAATAGAAATGCTTTTATTTTGATCATTGACAACTCATTGAATAATCTTAAATTTTAATCTCATAATGGTACATATTTGGATATCTGATTCCCAAAAAAAAAAAAAAGAAAAGAAACTGGTAATGCTGGTTGTCTTTTGACGCTTGTGAAATGTAGAATACTTAGATAACTTATTAGAATCATGAAAGAGATACTAGAATACCATTATTCCCCCTGAAAGTAGCTCTTAACCACTTAAATATAAAACTGTAACTTGCAGTATTATGCCTAGATCAATTTATTTTAAGTTAGAAATAACAGCATTAATAAGAATTTGAG